CACGCTCAGGGCGTTCCTGGGCGCGGCGGCGGCGACCGGCGGCGGCGCGGGCGCCGAGCTGATGGCCGTGTCGGCGTCGGCCGCGCTCGTGGCTTGGCTCGGCCCGGTGCTGTTCGCGCACTCGGACATCGCCTGCAGGATGAGCCTGGTCGTCGCCGCCGTGGAGGACGGCTACCAGGGCCCCGCCGCCGTGGACAGGGCCGAGGCGCTGGTGACCGGGCGCAGGGCGCGCGGCATCGCCGTCGCGCTCGCGGCGAGCCTTGTCGAGCAGGCGCCGTCGCGGTGGTGCGGGGACGGCGCGCCGGCGTTCGTCGTCGTCCCGGCCGTTCTCGCGGCGAGGCTCGCCGCGTGCTACGCATGCGCGGCGTTCTACTACCAGTGCAGGGCACACCATGACAAGAACACCAGTAGTGTACTCAACCTTGGTGAATCATCAATGGTGGATGAGACAGAGGCAGATGCAATGGACAGTGTACTCGGCTGCTTCAGATTGACGTAGCCATAAGGCCCATAACAATCACGAGCAAAATCTGAAAATGGACTCTAATCCATCGATGATGTCCTCTCGTGTAATTTTGTTTTTCAAATCCAACACAAATAGGAGTAGTTGTGAAATCTTTTGAAAAGAAATTCACACAATGACGTGTAGAGTATAGTATTACTCATATATCAGTCCACCAAAAATTTAAGTTCAAACTCGAAAAAGGACACATTTATATCTCAATGTGTAAGACTATAAGTTGAGTTTGGATCTAATATTTTGTAAAGTGGTATATATATGTTGTAGAAAGATCTACTACTAATCTAAGCAGATGATAAACATTGCATCAGTAGCCGGTTTCGTCGAACTGCCACAGGTAAAAGCACCAAGCATCTTCTAGGTTGTAATTTGTATAGCTTTCGCATAATCCCTCCGTCCCAAAGACAAATCAACTTCTGGAGGGTGTATGTCGACTAGCAAAGCTCCCGCGCCACCAGTAAACAAAAAATGTTTGTTAAACACTGCCTCAAATCAGCAGATTGCAAGCAGGTTTCAGAGAGGTAAACATGCAATCAGTGATTGACAGGGAATGGCAGAATAGTCACAGGTAGGATAACATGAATGATGAAGGCACAGAACATGGAGAAGTTTGAAAAGACCCACTGGCCTCAATACAATCTACAAAGGAGATTCTGGTCAGTCAATCGTGCATTAGAATTTTTCAGATGAAGAAACATTGCAAGGATGGTAGTTTCTGTTTGCCTTCATAACAAGATAGTACAATAGCTTCTAGATGAAAATGTGATGGTAGTACCCTTAAAGCTCCCCAAGATAAATCTGCTTGTCACTGCCGCAAGATCCAATGACAGGCTCGGTGGGATGGAATGCGGTCTCGTTGACAGAACCGTTGTGGCCAGGAAGCTTGTACAAGATCCGCCTTGATGTTGTGTCCCAGATGTAGACCATGCGATCAGCACTCCCGGCAGTGACCTTGCGATTATCAGGGGACCAGCTGCACTTCAACAGGTTCTTCTCAAAGTTATGCTGGTGTCCTGTGAGGGTCTTGATGTTCCGGTTCTCTGGGGCGTAAGGGCGCAAGTCCCAGATTTTGAGCTCATTGTCCATTGCATTGGTTAGGAGATAAGACCCATCTGGACTAAGCTGCATTCCGGTTATCATGTCCTGGTGTCCTTTGAGATACTCTGTCACTTCATTCTTACGGAGATCCCACCATTTGACATCATTGTCTAGGCCACCAGTGAAAACCTTATCTGCCGCCTCTGAGAAGCTGACGGCTGTAATCTGGTACTTGTCGGGAAGTGTTTGTATAGCACCTCTTTGACGCAAATCCCACAGCTTTGCTGTTCCATCATCCGATCCACTTACAACCAGAGGTGGCCACTTTCGAGCCGGGCAACATGAGTTGACAAAAGATGAGTGCTCGGCCATCTTCTTGACTTGCTTGCCAGTCTCAACGTCCCACACTCTCACAGTCTTGTCAGGGCTTGCAGAGATGATCTGAGTCCCATCAGTAGTCCATTGAAGGTCAAGAACAGCATTCTTGTGCCCTCTCAGTACCATGTAGTTCTTACAGTCACCATGGACATACCACAAGAAGATATCCTTGTCATGGGAGCCTGATGCTATCACAGTTCCTGCAGGGTTGAACTTCATACAGTACACAGCGCTCTGATGGCCTGTGAGTAGCATTATTGGGGCCTCCAGACTGGATGTACGTTGCTTCCCACCAGGCCCAAGAGCTTGATTAGGATGCTGTTGAATGTTAGCCAGCTCCATTCCTGGCCTTGGGGCTGAAAGAGCCAAAGAATTGTTGCCTGGGGGGAACATCTTGAAGTTGGAAGTTAAGTTCCTGCGATCAAGAGAGTTATAAGATGACTAGAAGAATTGAACAGCCCACTTCAAGTCCTACCTACACAGGCGTACAGAAGAATATTGAAACAAACAGAAAGGATAACACCATCCTTCTTCCAGCACACAAGCAAGATCACAGCCAGTACATATCCAGAGCAAAAACGATTGAATTGCTGTACAAAACCAAAGGACAGTGGGTGCACCGGGCTACAGTTTCCAAATTCCAGAGACAAATATGCATGTGTTGGATGTATTAGGCAAAACTAAATTGGATCTCATGTTTGGTGCAACACCCTGGCTATACATGGAACCCCCACAATCGCAGATAACAGTTGATACAGAACATTTGTGTCTTCAATATATGTGTAAGTCACAAAAGTGGTCCAATTAATACAAAATAACTATACATAATACCAATCAACATTAGAACAGTAACGGCAAAAACAAATTTTAGGTGGTTTGAAAAAAATAGCTAACTGCAGATGAAACCAGTTCAAAGTAGCTTGAATAGTTTTATCAATCAAATTGGCCACACAAAGGACAAGCGAAAGCCTTGGCAGGGATACTGTGGGCACAAGGATATACACACAGAGACTTAAATCAAGTATGGCAGCTTAGTGAATAGTGACATGATGAACAAATTGAGTACAACCATTGGAAGATTAATATACAGCTTAAAGTTTTTGGCCTAGCAAAGGCAAGCACATGGGTCCCTTCGACTGGGGCAGCCGTGGCAAATGAAGTTGAACTGGAACAATTTCTGGTCCTGTTCTGTATCTGGCAAACTCCAGCAAAATGTGAGTGCAGCTGAATAATACTACGATGCGTGCGAGGCATTGCTACATTAGGGCGGGATGGGCTGGTGTACTGAAGCATGCTAAGCACACAATCTTCCTTTTACAGTTAAATTAAAAGCCTGGATCTGCTACTACTTGTCATTGACTTCCACACTACAAACAAAATGCAATTTACTTCGAATTGCTCACACATCAGGATGGGGGATGAAACAAATCCATAGATAATACACAACACAGTACCACCATTTTAATATTGACACCTACGGATTTGGAGTTCCGAGTATCAAAATCTGCAACAGAATTCCTTGAAAGGATAATAAACCCTCTACGCCGGTCATAGGTTTCAAATCAAATGCTAGTAAGGAAACCCTACAAGCACAAGGAGGCGGGGCAAGGGTTTAAGCTGATTCCGCCTCTCATCTAAGGGAACTACTCCATGCTCTTGAAATTCCTACGCTCCAGAGTGCAGAAAATGTCAATATCCCCTAATCAAGCATCCCCCTCTCCCCTCTCTCTTGCTCAAGCGGGAATCCATACGCACACAGTCCCAAGACATGGCAGAATCTGCAATACGGAGACATCGAAACAGAGGAGGACAGAGTGACCTACCCGGAAGGGAGCCCTAGCCTCCGCTACCCCTCTGCTCGGCGGCGAAGCCGGGGAGCGCGCGCGCGTGCGGCGGCGGGAGGGGGTTCGCCGATCCGGCCGCCGGAGAGGGAGGAACGAGACGAGACGAGGGAGGCGGCGCAGCAAGGGGCGTGGACGAATCGGGGATTCGGTATGCGTCTAGTCGCGTGAAGCCTCATGAATTGGGCCGCGCCGTCTCGACGTGATGTGGGCCCAAATTTTGTGATGGGCCTCAAGAGATAGACAAGGAGATCCTGAGATAGACAAGGTCCTATCTCGGTTTTTATTAGCATGTTTTTTAATCTGCTATAAATGATGTATTTTATATATAAAAAAATATATAGAGGTTGCTTTAAAGTTTAAAATAATTAAAAATTAATTATTCATGTGCTAATGTTTTCTTTTTTTGCGTGTCAGTAGTTAACCTTTATCCACCTCAGCTTCGAACAGGGCTACTTCCAAACGGTCTAATTTGAATCAACAAGTTCTGCCGATTGCTGAATAAGTCGAGAACAGGTGATCGGAATCAACAACACTCTTCAATCCATCTTCAGTTAGAAACATGCCCAAGCAGTCAGGTATAACCAAATAACTGAACTCAAACTCTTATCATGTTGCGCCATCGGTTGTAGCAGCCAACTGGACTTGAGGCATTCTTGGCCTGTTTGAATTTGGACTTCTTTTTTTAATTAGTTCTTGTGCAGTTGTGCTTAAATCGCTGGCCTCTTTGAATTTGCGCTTCTTTTTTATCAGTTCTTGTGCAGGTGTGTTTAAATCGCAGGAGTTATATGACACGCTGTTTCGCTCTTATTCCTGACACAATTATGTCGGGTTCTATTGAGCTCCAACCCAGCATGAGTTCTATTGAGCTACAGCCTACATCATACAGGTCTCTGGTAGCAACTTAGCACCAGCTTTTTATATGGTAATTGTATGGTAATGAACTAATTATGGCCTGATACACGTCCGTCAAAAAACAGATGATCGCGGTCCTCCACCTGAATTTTCATCGAGATACTTGTGTGCTGTGATTCTCCATCGTTGTTACTTCCGAGTACTATTATTCTTCCATTTTTTACCTGCATATCCATCAAATAGACCTCGAGGGCAGGAGATCAGATGCATCGAGCAGTTACGACGCATGCATAACAGATTGAGTATCTAGAAGCCTAACGATACTGGTTGATATCACGACAGTGCTATTGGTATGTGGAACACAGGGATACGGCAAAAACATGAACATTTCATTGCATGCTAATTGCAAAGTCTAATTCAGTACGATGATTTCTCCACAAAAAGGGAACAGAATATAAACCATCTTTTAGCAACAGTTTCTTGAAACGGGTCAATGAACTTTGGACGCCTACTTTAGAACACAGCACTATCCTCAATAATCTTCTGTTTTCTCCTTGATGAGTACTCCACTATATCCCCATGCTAGTCTTTCTTTAGCATCCAACCTGCCGATCAACAGAAGTTGCTATTAGTGCACTGCTTATACTGACATGAACTCAAATAGAAATTTCAATGGGCTAGTTTGAATAGGCAGGGAGAAGAAACAAGTAGACATCCTCTTCTAATGAAAGAGAATGATTTTGGTTCAATCTTCATGCCGATCCCCAAGTCTTACCAAGAGAACACCCAAACACTGAAACAAGGTTTAAGGAGATTCCGTATGCTATACATCGCTAAAAATGTATGAAAAAGAAAAAATAGCATGCGTAGGTAAAGGTATGAAAACACTCCGTGTTACTAAATCACATAATTTAAATCCATACAATATTAGCCAAAAACACAGGACTTCAATTGGATGTTTTTACAATTCAATACAATAGCAGTATATTTGAAAGCAGGTGTTGTAATAAAATTTGTTCCTTCAACATAAAAAGCAGTTAGGGCATAAATGTTTGCTCATGTATGGTAGTTGTATCCGACTCAGTCAAATGATTGCCCCAATACCTAGTGCATTGTGAATTTGTGATGGAGCAGGCAAAACAATCAGGCATAGCCGCATAGGGTACCAACATGGGATGTATGCATCAGCTAAGTGTATTCAGCATTGACAAAATAACTACAAAGAATCCTTGATATCCAGGGTTCATGAAGTTGTTACAACTAAGCCAGGTTCACATGAAAGCAGTTACAAATATCTTTTCTAGCTGTTGAGCCTAATATTCAGATGAAAGTAAACCCTACACAGATAGATCCGACCATGGGCGCTGGTACTACATAACAATTTGGTCAACTTATCACAAACATTGTTCACAACCTATATCTGCAGTTACATGCCTCTGATGAACAACTGCAATACAAGATCATAACAGCATGTCGAAATAAACAACTCAGCCAAGCTTTCTTCCATAGCTATAACTTAAGCTCAACTTCGACAATTGCATCACGAAGAACAGAAGAAATAAATAACACGGACAAGTTGCTACGGCTATATTCATCAGAACTCCTACACTATTGGCGGGCTCATCATCTGTGAGTAAACAGTCTCCTAAAATATCAGCAAATATTTATCATTTATCATTTATGACAAATTCTGTACAATCCAATCATGCACCACAAGCACAAGCAAAACCACAAAATTCGCAAGCAAACCGAACCATCATACTTGAATCGGTCGAGATCTGCCAGAACTGACCACATGCCAACTCCCACAGGCCACAGCACCCAATTTCACGGAAACAACCACAAATTCACACACAGGCATGCACATCGCAAATTCACAAGGCAAAACAACTAGATCTAACTCTAACGGAGGGAGGGAACGGGCAAGCTGATGTGACATACCTAGCCGGACCCGACGATGATGTTGTTGATGGGGATGAAGATTAGCTTGACGAAGAAGCCGACGAATCCCATGACGACGAACCCGATCGCCGTCCGCAACGCCACCTTGGAGAACTCTGCAGAGCAAAGCCACCGTCAGATCTGGGCGGAAACCGCGCCAAGGGCAGAGACGAGACGAGACGAGACGAGGCGAGGCGCTCCCTACCCTTGCGGTCGGGCTTGTGGCAGCGCTTGACGAGGCGGACGCTGTCCTTGGCGAACTCGCGGAGGGGATCCACCACGGAGTCGATGGCGTCCATGGCGAGATCTCGAGAGGAGACGAGGCGAGGCGCGCGTGGGAGAAGAGAGGAGGTGGACGCGGTCGGGGTGGGGACTGCTTCGCTTTTGGCGAGTTTGTTCAGCGGATGGCTCCCTTTATAACCGCTCGAAACATTGTTCCTGTGTGCTCTTCTCCGTGACTGGTTTTCACTAGATTTCGGTCAAATTTCATCAGATTTGAATTCTTATTTGAATTCTTGAAAACCATTGAAATTTTCACTCGGGATATGCTTTTCCAGACTCTACCAATGAGATAACTGCTCACTCACTGTAACTGTAAAAGCACACGGTGGGTGACATTGTGACAATACGATCAAGTGTAATTCGTGAAGAGCTAATTGTGATTACCGCACTGCAAATTAAGCCTGATGAACATACACAAGGGCATGTTCGTAAAACCATCTTTTGCTGATCGTGGTAGTTACAGTAATGCAATTAAGCAAACATACACCTTCGTGATAACCAAAAAAATGAGAACCATCAGTTGCTTACAGTTCTGGTCCGACCAACAAAGATCGTGGTTGCATTGTAAAGATCATAAATCTGTTTGCACCAATTGGGGTCAAAACGGGCATCAGATGAAGAAAGCGATCAGAATCTTCCTCTTTTATCACTCTACAGTTGATTCAGCTTTCTTGACAACGGAGTCAGCATTCAGGTTTATTTGAGCTATGGATCCACCAACATGGTGGGAACAAGGTAAGCCTACAATCTGCTATGTACCCTAAAGGCAACAAGAACATGGAATCAGGGGAGCATCTGAGCCTCTGCAAATTGTGTGGAAGCCCAGAGACACCCCTCCACCTCACAGGAGGAAGCCATGTGGAAAAGAGGCAAAATTACTGCCAAGCAAACAATGTTTGCTCCAATTACAGTTTCAAGTAATCAATTGAATCAACCAACCAATATGAGATCAGGCATTCTTCCGATTTCCAGCTCATTGCCCTTCAGTTTATATCCATTCAACCCGGACAACTTGAGCTCATAGCCTTCCAGTTTATGCGCTCCAGTGGTGACCACAGTTTATTGAGCATCAATACCATTCTGATCAGGAAAATTTGAGGTTAATCTTCGTCGCAAACCATCATGTTCAAGTGCATCAGATATGTAATTGACTTGGTCAGCTGTTTTAGGTCCTATGCCTTTCTCAGAAGCCATCATGGTACTAGATGCTGCGTCCCTTTGGCTACTGCTGCTATTCATATCAAGAATTCCATTATTACTGCCGTTTTCTCCTCCATAACTGGAATTATTGGCACCCAAAATCACATGCCCATTTTCATCATGGCGGCTGCTTACATTATCAACAGAAGTTGCTCTTTGTTGGTAAACAGTGCCAAAAGTCGTGCCATCTTCACCCCAACTTTCTTTTATCAGGTCTGACGGTACTGCAGCACCAATAGATTTTTGCTCCAAGGAAATGTTATAGCTGGTTTTCAAATCATGGACAGAGCTTGCAGAGGTGTCCATGGCAGCTGACTCTCTGCAATGATTTGTGCGAAAACTAGGAGACAAGAATGGTGTGCCTCCTTCACCATTTCGAGATGATGAAATATTACTTGATTTGCTGTTACTACTCACAAAGGATGATGATGTGCCATTACTAATTGACAAGCCATCATCACATTTGCCTGGATTTCCCCTAGAACAAGGCCTTAGAAGGAAGCCACGATGTAAGAATGGCATGCCCCCTTGGCAATCTTTTGCCGGCAGGTTTGGGGCACATTTATTGTGATTATCTTCCGATGGTTTACCATTGCATGTATTATTCAGATATGTGTTGCTTCCTGATGGTTCTTTGTAAGGTTTTGGATTGAAACCATTATAGGTAAAGCCAGCATTCTGTTTGCCCGCATGTAATGAGTTGCTGCTAGATAATGTATCACCATTCCCAATAGAATAGTTGCCGTTGGTGGATGTTGCAAACTTATTTTCATAGCATTGTGTGCTTGGAGAGGGCGTGTTGCCACCATTGGTCAGAACTCCTTGCTCTGGGCAACTGGGTTCTCCATTGCAATGACCATTCAACTCTTGCGAGGAACCAGCACCATTGTCACCAGTTTGACATCCTTCTGCAAAGAATGAATTTATTCTCGAGGGTTTGTCGGGAAAACCAGGAATTGGTTTACCCGCCAAACCATTCTCCAATGCCGGGACCAATGTACCATTCCCCATCACTCCAACTGAATCACCTAAGGCAGGCCTGCTCCATCTTTCAACTTTAACGCCAGCTTCAGTGTCAATTTCCATGTAGTCAACTGAATCAATACATGACGCAGGTTCTTCACACTGCTCTGCAGGGGAATGCACTAAAGATGTTTCATATGTGGAGTTGCCAAATTGCACAGATCCCATGGTGTTCGATTCTTCCAATGGAAAACCTGAATCTCCTCTAGTATTTTCATCAAGGGCATGCGATACCGTTGAAACTGGTGGGTGCATAATATCATTGTTAGTGAACTTATCTCTATCAAAGCTCACATGAAAATCCAGGTCTGGCTCTCTGTCCATAGTATGTAAAGATTTGTTGTTGGATTCAAAATCAACTTCCAGATCTTCTGAGGGTTTCAAAGATGGCACGCCTTCTAATGGCACATCCTCTTGTATCAAATGATTTTGTCCATTCAAAGGGCATACTTTCAACTGTTGCTGCTGTTTCATGAGTTCTTCTACTGCAATTAGTGGCCTAGGGCGAGCTGTTCTCCTGCAGATGATCATAAAGACAAAGCAGAGAATGTCAGATCCAGAACAATAAGCATTGCTCTCAACATCAGACAAGTAATATTTGTTAGATTCCTGTGAAGAGGTTCATTAGTTGGAGAAAACAAAATATTGAGCATAAGAAGAAAAATGCAAACATGGTAAGATAAAAAAAAAGTGATTATGAAAGTTCTGTCATACAGCTGTTAAGCTAACAAGCCTAAAACAGATAAGTCAACAACAGAGCAATATGGGAAGCAAGTCTGAGTTATGAGCCTGTCTCGTTGGTAATTAAACAGTTCATACTTAATGATTTAGGTTAGGTTGCTTTAATAATGTACTTCCACTATCTTGATTGCTACTGTTGTCTTGTTGATATAAAGAATATCACAAGATTCAAAGAGTACGGCAAATTTAGAAGGTAGAATTTCCCAATACAATGGACATATGATGGCAACAGGCATTAACATAATCATTCTAATAGAAATTACCTGCTATATAGAAGCATATAAGCACCTTGAGCATGTACTTCCTCCTCATCAACAGCCATAACCTACAAACAAAAGTAGGCAAGTAGTATCACTGACTATGACAAGTATTCATATGGTCATATACTAATAACATAAAAAGGTGAACACGTACCTTGCAGTCATCAATTTTATACCAGCGTCCTCGGTAATTTTTTATATAGCATATATAATGCCCAAAAAATGAAGCATTGAGCATATCCAGATGAACAACAACAGCATAGAGATCGTATTGGTCACTTCCATCAGTGCTACTCATGTATGGCGTTAGGTCTAACTTCATTGGGAATGTAACTCTCTTGTTTAGTTTCCCAAATCTACCACTCTGTGATAACCATATGAAAGCTTGTTATCCAAGTATGTCATAATACAAGTATACAATTGCATTGATATAGTTACAACAAGCTGCTGTCCTAACCTGGAATCTTTTCAGAGTAATTGTGAGGATATTTGGAGCTTGATAAACTGTAAGACGTTTCTGTGCTTTGACATAGTCGCTGCATCTGTATAAAAGCAACCAATGCATTAGAGCGAAAAAAAAGGAACATTTGATGTATATAGACAGAGGGAGAGAGAGAGAGAGGAGCTCAATAGCAGACAAAATATAAGTGGTGTATTAACCAATGTCCTAGTCCATATATTGATGGGAGATGGCACTATTACCATAAAATCTTCCTCGGGTTGAATTCGTGAGAATGACAACGCTTGGGTGATTCCAGACAGCTATCATATTAAAAACACTCCATCTTAAACCAACTAATAGAATTTAGACTAAGAATGTGGCCACAAACTCACAAGCTATTTATATTGATTCAAATACTAGACCCAAGTTCAACTATTCCTTCCTATATATTATCGTCAAAGTAATTCATATTAATGAATTTTAGATGAGACTTAAGTGGACCAAAATGAGATCATTCTGTAGTGATCAATAGTAAGGAAAAACTAATCTCTCCAAAAAGAAGAGGAAAAGCTAATTTCAACGGATGGTCAAACCATTGCTTTCACTGATGGGCATGATTAAAACTATTATGCCCCTGCAGGATTTGGACGTGTGTAGATACCATTGACGCACAAAATTGCAGAAAATATTGTTCACTTACCCATCACATTTGTACTTATTATCACCATCAAGCCACTCTACTGCAGTGAACTTATCTAAGCATTCTTCCAAGGAGTCAGCATCACCATGAATTTCAACTGTTAAGTCCATCATATTCTCATAGCGATTTGAGACCATTCCACATGCAGTACATTGAACCTACACATGTCCTTTCAGTTAGGCCATATTCATGGGAGTTTAGAGCGGATTGAAAATAGGGTGCCAAAAAAGCCAAACTCAAACACTGTAGATTGAAACCCTATATCTAACAGAAACAGAAGAAACCTGGGATTGCAGACGACCACCAAATATGTGTTGAATAAGAGTCGTTTCTTGCGTGCTAGGGTCTACAGCCTTCTCGCCTCCAAATTCATCAAGACAAGCAGATTGCATCTTATCTATTGCAAACCTATGGGTACAATGAATTATTCAACATTGGGAAGGCGGTTCAAAAGAGGCCAAGCTGACAAAAGATTAAGAGATAAGAAAATTCACCTCATGAATTCATGAGCATCCTCTTGTCTACCAAAGCCAAGGTTCCCACCTATATTTGGCAGGTGAGAAAGAATGTTCTTCGGCGCAAATGGATGCATACTTTCACTTGCCCTTTGGATATGGCATTGCAGTTCGCACAAGAAACACCAATCTTCATGTCTCTTATAACCTGAAAGGTAGAGATGTTGAACATTGTTTAAGTGTAAAACTAGACTTCCTTACATAGTCATGGGAAGATAGCACTTACATTCCCTGCTATGGTCCATTCCTAAGAGATAGGCTGCAAGTGGCCTCGTACATGAAAGACATTGTAAAACAACATTGGCAAAGCAACTGCACAGATAAAACACGATATATTATGGATTTAAGGAGGTATTTGCAAAGCAAACAGACATAAGTGCAATATAGTACTATTCTATTATACCTGTTGCCACAATTCAAAAGGCCACAAGGTAAATAATCAAGGTCCCTCCAGTTGCACAGCTTTAGAAATTCATCATATGGAAAGATGACCTGCATATGAAACATTAGTGAAAAATGTTAAACTACATAAATATACATTTTGGCATGTCACACACACGGTTTTGGATTAAGAGCACAATCATTCACCTTGTTTAATTTTCTACGGGCAGGTACTAATGAGATGGGACCAAAACCAGATAACTTATTTCTGTCTTCCTCGCCTCCACCTGATAGCTTGTCAGCAGGGCTTGATTTTTTCATTTGTTTGCACTTGAACTTGTGACCAGATTGCCAATGCTTTGACTGACATCCTTGAGAACTGAATAAGTGCACAAACTGATGTTCAGGTCCAGAAATATGGTGAGCATGGTTATCAAAGATACTAGGGAAACAGGGTTCGGTAATTGTGAATCATGGAGTCATGTAACCCTTATTATGTGGCAAAACAATGCAAGTCTATTCCAGTGCAGTAGAACCTTGAAAGATCAGATTATACAATGTTTTGCAATAATAGGATCATCCAAATGTTGGGCATGTTTTACTTATTGACAAAATAAACCTAACCATTACCCATTTTTTTGTGAGGCAGAGCAATGTGGGGGAGTGTTTCATCTGAAGCCATATTAAATTGGGTGTAGTTATCAAGAGTGTAATCTTCCGGAATTACCTAAGTTTGGTGTGGCTGTGATGTTGGAGTATGTTGGGTTTATCGCCTTACCAAAATTTGGTGACGCCAAAATTTCACAAGTTTGTAAATGGCAACAAACAAAACATACTATACACCAAGAAACACTTTCTTCTGGTGTGACTGCACACATTGGCCAAAATAACAGATTAATCGTGGACTATCTGCTGTGATGCTTACTCATTCAAAAACCAGTAAATGAGAAACTAAAAACTTCACTGCAGGGTGAAGTTGTGAACCACATTCAACGCGACAAACAAGAACCCAAAGTTTCTCCTAATACTAACAGCCATTACAACACAACCAACCAATCCAATCACGCAAATTAGGCACAAGATCACATAAGAGACAAGATCATCTCTCCGCATATTCCATCCAAATTCAAGCGCCCTCGTCATAGCATTCAAACCGCAGTAGCCCAACAATTACGCATATCCGCTCACACGAACCACAAGACTCCGAAACACCAATTCCCCCAAGAACTTAAAGAAACAGCAGTAATAAAATCACAATTCACAGCCAGGACAACCATAGCTTGACCAAGAACCCCGTGCAAGATCCTGGTACCGTTGCCTGCGCCAGACGCCACCCCCAATTGCACACACGAAGTGACGAATTTCGCGGGGAAGGAACTAGGTGAGACTCTAAGATCGTATATGCGGTACAAGACCACTACAAGTTACACACGAAAAGGAGGAGGAGGAGGAAGGGGACGCACCAATACCGCACGCGCTTGCACCCGGAGCACTTTTTGGTGGCGATGTAGCCGCACGCGGCACAGGGCTCCCCGCCCCCACTGGCGGCGGCTTGCGCCCCCTGCGCCGCGCCGCCGCCCTGCTGCCGCTGCTGCTCCTCCCCGCGAGGCGTCATCACGAGGTGGTGGTGGGGGTGGTGGTGATCGTCGTACGAGGAGGCGGCGAACCCCGCGGCGTCGACGACGAAGTACCTCGACGCGGCGCGGCGCACGGCGACGACGGCCGCCGAGAACAGCACGAGGCCGACCACCGCCGCCTGGATCACCGCCGAGAGGTCGAGGCCCAGCCCACCCGCACCGCCGCCGCCCCCGCCGCCGCCGAGGCCTCCCCCCAGCATCTAATATAGCCGGGCCCTAGGGTTAGGGTTCCCCGCCACGCCGCCGCCTCCGCCTCCTCCAACCATCCGAGCAAGCCTGACCAGGCGGCGCGGCCGAAACCCCTTCACCCACCGACTGACCTGTGGGCCCCACCACCACCACCACCCGCGAGTCCGCCGCCACGAAGAGGGTGAGATTCCCAGCCGGAGCCGGAAGGGGGAGGAGGAGGTGGAGAAGAAGAGAGAGAGAGGCGCTTCCCGCTTCGCTCACTGGCGCGTGGGGCCCAGTAAGGTGGAGCCCACGTGGCAGCGGGTGTGGAACGAGTCAAACCTCCTCCTCCTCTGCTTCTGCTTTTCGCCTCGGCCTACGCGTCCATGCAGAGACGCAGGTTTGCTGCTGCTGCTTGGCAAGTGTGCCTGCGCGTGTGTGTTTATTATCAGACGTGACAACGTTGGTGTTTGGTTGGCTTCTCTTCTCATTGCAGTTGTTTGTTTATCTGAAAGGGAGATAGGGAGACCTCGATGGATGCAGATACGAGATGCGGGAGAGAATATTTTTTTCATCTGATGATTCTGGAAAAGAAACAGAAAGGTGAATATTGCTTTCTACGTGTTCTCTTTAGAACAGGTACAATAGTAGACTATAAGCCAGCTATAAGCATATTTTAAAGGAGAGAAGAGCAACGAGCTATAGATTTATAACCAACTGTAGCACGGACTTCAAGATGTATGTGTGTATGACACGTGAAACCAGATATTAATTGTGTGGTATAGTATATTTATAGGTTAATATTGTATGAATTGACTATAAATAATTTGTAACCAGTAGTTGGCTATACTATTAGTTCTAAAATATAACGGTACTCGATTAGATACCACTACTACAAATCTTTATATGGATAGTGTTTAATTGAGGGAATAGTTTAACTTCTAAAGTTATATGCATTGTATTAATTTTAGCTATAATGTTATTATATGTTAGTATGTTAGACTTTCCTCAATACTCCTAGAAGCTAACAATAAATATAAAAGCAAATCTCAAAGACCAGAAGACCTCGTTCCTTGACAGCTTCACGTGTGGTGCAGTGAGGACTCCCAACGCCTGAAGCTCCAATAGGAAATGGGCATGCGTGGATGGGGTGCGTTGGGCGAAAGCTTTGCATGGTTGAAAGACGGGCCGACGGCAGTGATATCCCTCAAGCCTCTTCTTTATCCCTGAAGGCATCATTTTTTGCACGACATGTTCCTCTCCACACTAGAGCTCTGGGTGAAAACCCTATTTCGGTATGCGATGGTGGCATCATTCAACGTCACTCCCCTCCTTGAACGCATCATCATTCTGCCAAAAAACATGGTTGTCCCCTAGCACCATGACTCCCAGTGCCTTCCTCCCTCTCTAATTCCAAGTTTGAGGCTCTTCTCGTCATTGACTCAGCTGACATCAGTCTGCTACATCATTTACTTTCATTCCCTATAGTCAAATTGATGCCTATGCCTACATGCGTCTGTGCATGGTTGAAGTCAATATAGTCGTCGTTCTTAGCTTTGCTTCAATCATCATCGCCTTGATCCATCATATACCCTGAGTATGTCGTTGCCTTGTCTCTCGCTTTAAACCCGCTCTCTTGGCATGCTCGTTGATCGACAACGTAGGTTTGCATGTTGGTTAAGAGCCAAGCCTTTTTTCCGGTGGTCGTTATGATTTTCTAAACCATGCTTTTCTCTATCGCTGCTATTGATGCTTCCTCTACCAGTGCAATGGTTGCCTTTCCCCATTTCACTTTAGACTACTCCTAGTTTCGTCTTCACCCTCTTCGTTTGGGTGTCCTTGACCGCAACGTTGAGCTGCCCTCCACTATGGGGCCTCCTTCTCCTCAAGAGCGTTGGAGGATGTTGACTTGGTTGGCAATTTGTTAAAACCTAATTGAAGATGACTTAATATGCGTGGCAGTGGATCTTCCTTCTTCGGGGCTTTCTTCCCTAAAAGGTTGCTGCAACCATTGATCTAGATAGCAATTAGGTAAAGTCATTCTTGATAGCTTATTGATGCAGATGACCTTAGACAACCACAACCTCTTATCGCAGGAAATTGAGCCAGTGCATGTGGCAGAAGGCCCTTCGACAATTTTCAATTTTGTGTGCTTCATGTTTGCATGTGAAGTGGATGCTTGGAAAGAAAGAGGAGTCGTTTGGAAGTTTGGATATACATGTTCTGGTGGGTGGAAACTTTAAGCACCTCCTCTTTCTTTGTGTTTTCTCTTCCCAGTATTCCCGTGTAATCTCATATAAGGCCTTATTTAGTTCGTGAAAAGAAAATTTTTGGGTGTCACATCGGATGTTTGACCAGATGTCGGAAAGGGGTTTCCGGCCACGAATAAAAAAACTAATTTCATAACTCGCCTGGAAAGCGAGAGACGAATTTATTAAGCCTAATTAATCCATCATTAGCACATATGGGTTACTGTAGCACTTATGGCTAATTATGGACTAATTAGGCTCAAAAGATTCGTCTCGCGATCGTTTTTCATGCAAACTGTGCAATTAGTTTTTCAGTTTATCTATATTTAATGCTACATGCATGTATCCAAAGATTCGATACGACGATTTTGGGAAAAAAAATTAGGAACTAAACAAGGCCTAAGATTATTGGAAGTAATATATGAATAGTGGACATTTTGCCCCCGGTGATAGAAATAAAAAACTCAAGAAGTCTGCCTTGCCTACTGCAGTTTCTTCTCAACTGTTTTCTCCTAGACCTAAGGTCAATGCTAGCAGAAGCAATGCTATAATTTATAGCTACATGGTTTGAGAAGTGCCTTGCATAATTAAACTAACTAACAACTACCTTCGCACTTGTTTATCTCCTTTTCTTTCTTTCTTTTTTCAATTTAGAGATGACTTGTACTTGTCATCTTCACTGCTCTGTCTCCCCAATCGCTCTCACGCTCCATGTCTAAGTCTCGTGCCGGATGCTGGGACACGCTTTCTTTACCTGTCTTTTTCCCCTCCCTCTCACACAATCTCTCCGAGGCAGATGTAGGTTGCCATCAGCAAACTGGAATCACAAATGGTATTAGTACAAAATAGGTACTCCTTTCACAGTGTGTATGTTTTGCAAGGTTGACGTATACCCCTTCGGTCTCAAACTATAGTTATTTCTACTATTAAAATTTTGGCACCAAACATAGCTATTATAGAGTAAAGAGAGTGCTTGCGGTGATGAAATGTTCAAAATGCGCATTATCTCCACAACCTCACCACAAAACTAATCGTGACAATTAAAGCGACTTTAATAATATTGCCAACTACTAGCTCCAAAAAATTAACACATCATCTATAACTAACACATTTCTCTCCCACATAGGTTACTACAGTTCGTGCTATAGCTGGCTACAAATTTGTAGCCCGCTTTCCCCCCTCTTCTCCGCACAAACACAAATATAATATAATGTGGTAACATGTATAGCCCGCTTACATGTAATCACTCTAAGAGTAATCTATTTTTTTTATCTCTCCCCCTCAATATTTTATTTAGATAATGTCTCCCCTCAATATTTATTTAATGACTATGAAAAACTCATGGAGTAGTTATATTTTGAGATATAAACGCGTTATATTTAGTGGGTATGCTCTCCAAGTGGTATTACGTTTATTTCGATAAAGTTTAGTGCGGTAACTACACGGATATAATTTATGTGTTAAGTGTGTGCTTCATTCTTTGCAACTACTACACCTGTTAATAGATTATCGTGGGTACACTTTTCAAACTATTAAACGATAAGATTTTTTAAAAACAAAACATAACATATATAGGGGTTTATTTAATTAAATAATTTTTTTCTCAAGTTTACAATAATAGAACATATTTAATTAGTTATGTGCTAATTGAGTGTTTTCTCTAGTAAACCGATCAGCTACTCACTCAAACCTCTTAAAAGAGCGGTGCCTTACGTCCCATTTGAGTATGAAATGTAAAGTGAGAAATCCATTAACACATGATTAATTAAATTTTAATTACTTTAAATTTAAAAATTATATTTATCTAATATTTTAAAGTAACTTATTATCTAGAAAATTTTCATATATATCGTTTAATAGTTTAAAAAACACGCTAAGTTATATTTTAATTAGAAAAGTACGGAAGCCACAAGAGAGCAGATAGTGGCAGGCTGAGAATGAGAGAAGTTCAGAAAATGGTATAATGGCCAGAATTGACAATCTGCAAGACCCAAGCCCAGCTGCTGCCCCAAGAGGCCAGTGACGACGTCAATCCTGGGAAGGCCAGAAACTGGTGGGCTTTCTCCATGGGCCACGAGCTCCTCCTCCTCCTCCTCGTCGTCAGAGATGAGCGGGTCGCCGTCGGCGAGCTCGCCTCGCCGCGGTTGATCACGATCATCACGATGGCCTCGTAGCCGGCGGTTCGATCTCGCGATATGTCGCCATCTCTATGACTCTCTCTAGCTCACGACCAAAGGCCTTGTTTCAAGACTATCTCTCTAACTTTTCAGACCAAAGTTCCGAAACATCAGAAGTTTTCAGATTCTGAACCTGAACTCTCTCTAGCTTTTCCTTCAGGTTCAGAACTTCTGAAGTTTCAGACTTCAGACTCTTCAGACGTGCAGTAAGGCCTACGAGGCTGAGCAATTTTTATTCTGAACTGTTTCATGTAAAAATCCTATAAATTTCCTCCAAATTAATCAGCTCGTAAAACCAGTTCAGGCAAGTTCTTCCTGTAGCAGGCAGTAACCAGAATGATGAGAACTTGGACTAACAATTAATCAGCTACTAAAACTCATACAGTACTACTAATACATTATTACTACTACAACATCTTACCGACTATATATATATCTACATAATTAGTACTACTATTATTATATAAGAACTTGGGTGATCTACTTGACTAATAGGGATCTCTGCAAAAATAACATTGATGAGAATGTGTGGTGTAGAGAGAGAGAGAGAGAGAGAGAGATCTGAGAGAGGCCATGGCGCGAGCTTTCATCTCTTCATCACATGAAGCTAGCACTCGTCCACACGGGGCTTGGAAGCGACGCGCCACCGCACGCAAGCGGCTACCCGGCCCAAGGCAGCTAATCCCTTACTAGTAATTAATTAACTCCGATTACTACTTAATTTAATTTCACGATCAAAATTACCAAGTACTACTTCACTTATTACTTAATTAAGCTACAGGGGAGATCCAGTCTGAAGCAGACAAGCCCCTTTTGTCGCCGTGCCAGCTAACCACCACTGTGGGGTTGTCTCTCTGTCTCTTGCTAGTTGCTAGTACCAGTATTCAGCTAGTAGCTAGGATAAATTTTGGCTGACATTTGTTAATTTGTTCTTGTGTCTGCCTGCTTAATGAACTTGTTGTTTCGTTAACCAAGAAACAAGTGTCAGTGGGCAGTGGCAGAATGAACTGGATCCAAAATCAGTCCAGCAAGCATTTTTTTATGTCCACAATGCTATGTGAGAGCAAAAATAATTTTATCTTTTCGATAATCCAGTCTCTAGATTACAGATGTATAGACACCTAGCTAAGATAGTTCAAGGGTGAGTAAGTGAGTTAATCAATATTTGAGAATTTTCAGATAGCAGCTGTTTGGCTTCATTTAAAGAACTAATTCAGGAGAGCTCCCCAGTGATCTTCTTTTTTTTTTTGTTAATATTTGTTTTTTTTTCTGGTTTTGACAGTTTCATTGATGCTTATTTCGTGAACTGCAAATAACGTGTGTGCTGTGAATTGTTCAACCATGCATTGCATACGCTTATATGTAGCTGTATTTTGCTTGCAAATACTGGTGTATGCAGCTGTATTTAGCTTGCAGATGATTGCAATGATTTTTTAAAGACTAAGCCAGGTTGTTCAGATAAGCTAGATTAATCCATTATTTCCCAGTGGCCTTGGGATGTCACATAGTCACAGCTTATATGTGCTTTCGGCGACTCTGTTCATTACTCTATCCAATTATCTTTCCAAAGCAAACTAGAAATTATATAGTATAAAAGCTCCATTATTATTGTACCAAAAGTATGGTGCTGAGGTCATTTTGATTTTTTTTCTGAAGAATGTGTTGAGGTTATTTTGTACTCTAACTGTATATTTTTATACTACCATGCTAGCAAGAGTACTGTAGAATTGAGCTTGCCAGGCTAAGGTTTTCCAACTGTGCAGTGCTGATCAAGCTGGCATGTTGCAGACAACTAGACAGGTATAACAATAATAATATTTGCCACGAGATATAACTTGCAAGTTGAGTAATTGATAACTTCCAAAGCAAATAGTAGTGCCCCCAAAAAATTGCATTACAAGATATCCATTTGATTATTTATCCTTATTTCTGCAGGAAAAAACTTATATCACTTCTGAACCACAACAAAGAGGTATCAAGCCATGAAGGTATAATATATGATGCATTACCAAAGTCAATATAGTACTACTGGGCCTTTTTTGTAGACCAAAGGTCAGATGACCCAGCTTATATTTGAAAGCTGGAAACTAGCTTGACTGCTTGAGGCCTTGAGGTGAGTATTAGGTTGGCTATAAGTTCTCCAAGAAAAAAAACTGTGTTGATTTCTTGGAAATAAAATTGAAAACAATTACTGGGAGTTTTATATTTTTATGTAGGCTCCTTTACAAGGATTAAACCATACTCACAATTATCATTAAATATAGAGAAAATCCATGAAATGCCATTGACAAGCACTCTAATCCCAGAAATGCCATTGACAAACGCAACTTCCTCAAAATGCCATCGTACAAGCGTTTTTCTCCCTAAAATGCCATCACAGCCATAGTGCTGTTAACTCCTCTCCGTTAAGTTGTATGAAAAGACATTCTTACCCCTGCGCCATTGCTGGGGGCCGCCGGGCCTGCGCCTGAGGGCCGCGCGCCATCGCCGGGGGCCGACGCGCCGCCGCCGGGGGCCGCCGCGCCTGAGTGCCGCGGGAGCGCCGCCTCGCTGCCGCCGCCGGGGATCCTTGCGCCGCCGCCCGGGAGCGCCACCGCGCCGTCGCCCGCGCGGCCCGGGAGCGCCGCCTCGCTGCCGCCGCGGGGGATCCCTGCGCCGCCTCGTCGCCGCCCGCGAGCGCCACCGCGCCGTCGCCTGGGGGCGCCGCATCGCCGCCGCCGTCGCCCCCCATCGGTTAGGGTTAGGGTTCCCTCTTTTTTTTCCCCAATTTCTTTTCTTTTACCGCCTGTAGACAGTATAATCTGGAGCGAGGGTAATCTGGTCATTCTGGTAAAAATTAAAATTCTAACGGCGTGGACTAAACGGTAAGTTTACTGTGATGGCATTTTAGGGAGAAAAACGCTTGTACGATGGCATTTTGAGGAAGTT